TCTTTTACTTATTTTTGTGTCAATTATTCGCGAAATTAGCCAAATTCTCGACGAACAAATTTTTTTTTATTCCTGCTTTTTCACTCTGCATTTTTATATATTTTACATTTTGTGTTGGATAGTGGCGTGGAAACGCTTCCTTGATGTAACTGTGTAGAAGTATCTGTAAATAAAAGTGTAGATAAAGTAAAGACTGCCTATTCATGCAGTTCTTAGGTTCACGTGGTTTGGACTTAATTGAGAGGAAAGCAATTCACAATGGCTGGTAACGCGCTATAATTGAAAACTGAGCGCATTGTATAGTAAATTGAGCATTGCGATCAAAACACGCTGTGACACTGTTCGATAAATCTGAACATGGCATAACCGCTAAAACAGTTAAAGCAACGGGGAGAAACTTTGTGAAGTCTGTCGTGATTGCCGCGTGATTCGAACAGTAGTTGACAGATATCAACCAGTTGTGGGAGGTTTTAGGTTATTTAGGTTTCGTCTTGGTTTCGAGAGAAGCGTGGCAACAAGTTCCATACATGAGTGCGTTGTGAAATTGAATCGACGAACACGTTGAAGGAAGGATTTATAGCGATCTGATAGCTACATGTTCTCATTTTATCTCTACTGCTTTGAACGATACAGCAAATAGCTACTTTTATCACTCAGCTAGAAGAATATTGAGGAATATCGAGGAAGAATCGGCAACATCCTCGAGACACGTAGAACATCGAGATTGGTTACAAAATGTATATCATTGCATTTATAACATCTACATGCTAATGAAGTTTCGTATCGTTTGATAGTACTTTTGTGTGACTACAAAATTTGATGTCGTGGGAAACAATGCAGAATCTAGTTTAGAAACAATGCAGAAAAAAGAAACACGGACATTTTTGTGGAAATACCACTCTAAAGAATTTTATATTACCATCCTACAGCGACCTAGCTAATGGACCACTAGGTTCAAATATATTAAATTTCGTATCACGTAATAGTATCTTCGTGTGATTGCAAAATTTGATACTACGAAACATAATGCAGAATCTAATTTAAAAGAAAAAAAAAAAACGCAGATACTTTTATATAAGTATCTCTAAAAGAATTATCATCATACTAGAAAATCCAAGTACACTGAACATATTATGTAATAGTACTTTCCTGTAATTACAAAATTTGATACTGTGGAAGATAATGCAGAATCTGATTAAAAAAAGAAAAAAAAACACAGATACTTTTGTGCAAATATCACTGGTCTCCAAAGAATTTTTTATTCATCATGCACATACGCGACGTGACCAATGGGCCAGGGAAGCGTTAACGACGACGATTCTGTTGGACGTGAGTGTAACACGAGGTAGTGAACGGCGAAAACTCGCTTTCCATCGTTGCACAGACGATAGTCGTTGCCATTAGGCGGCAACATGTAATCTTGCAACGAAGTCTTGTCATTGATCGAGCTTCTCGATCCGCTGACATAAACACACGTAACGAGAGTCGCACGCGGAACCTGCTGATTCTCTTTGGGGGAACGCGGCTGTTGCCGCTCCTCTAATCAAACTGCCGGTTGATCGAGAGCTCTCCGCTTTGCCTTTATTATTTGCATTCACGCACTCCAATGGAGCCTATTGGTGCGCGTTTCCTCTGAAACTTTTCATTAATTCGTTTCACCGACAGAGTTGACAGTTTTAAAACGTCAAAGGCATCTAACGGGACATCGTTGCCATTTTAGAGTTTTCTACGGTAAATTATTCCTCGAGTCTGCGCCTCGAAGTCTCAAATTGGGTGTATTTATTGCAGAGCAGGTAGGAAGATTTTTACTCTTAATTGGACAATAGAGAATCGACGAATGTAGAACGACTTGTAGCAGATCCAGTTTTTCATTCGTCATTCGCTATTTCTTTTTTCTCCCAGTTATCTGTATCTTTTCAAGCTTCAATTTTTTCAGATTATTATTTAGACAAATTTTCATGTTCATTATCTAGTCACACCCATGACCTATTATTAGTTTAGTTATATTTTTATTTTACATACAGTGGAGGAAAAAAGAAAGTTTAACACGTCGACTGTCACGTGAAACTTATACGAAGTCTATGCGACAAAATACTTAATTTTCGTAAGATATTATGTTACAACAAAGTATAAAGAAATCGTTTTCTTTTCTGTCTTGCAATTATCTAATTATTTATGTTATTTAAAAGTCTTTGTTAATGACGTTCATCTCGTTTGAATTTTTCTAAAATATTTATAGAAATAGAATAAACCATTTATGGATGGTTAGCAGTGACTATTGTAGCAGTCAACGTGTTAAGGGATAAATATATCACATTTTTAGAAAACAATGACACGTAACAACGTAAAATATATTTTCGAGTAAATTAGGCTAATATTATGAATGATCGTAGCAGTCGACGTTTTAATGATAAGAAAATATACCACATGTTTAGCGTACAATGGTACGCAACAACATGAAATATATTTTCAACTAAATTACAGTAATCTCAATTTACTCGCGCAGAAGTAAGATCAATCAAGTTCACTTCACCTCAGATTATTCTCAAAGCGCGATATTTTTTTTTTTTTATCAAAAATATTTTCTTAAATCTGACAAATCCCAAAGCACTTCCTCTTCCGTTCACAAATTGCATAAATTCTCAGGTATCAGTTATCCAAAAGTACAGTCTCGCCTCGGCTTTTCGACAGCTTACCGTTTTTTTCCCGCCGCATGATCTCGTTTCAGAAGAAACGAAATCGCGTCAGAGCAGTTGGAGGGCGTAGCGTATGTACATGGCCGACGAATATAGGGCACAGTCGCTCAGACTTTAGATATCAATCGCTAATGAGAAGCCGAAGTGTCAAAGTAGCGTCGCTTTCGAGCTTTGAGAGAGGATGCATTACGTCGTTGCAGCCGCGAGCCATTAGTGCGTAATTATTGTCGCGGTAACGACAGTGTGGAGCGTGATTAAATTATTACGAGCGTGGCCCGTGATTCGCTGGAGCCCACGGGGAACGATAAAAAAGAACGTGGACCGAAAGCGAGGCGGGATGGAGAAAAAGGACGTGACGACACAGAGAGAAAGAGAGAGAGAGAGAGATATTACTTCACACTGATCAAAGTGGAAAAAACACACCACGTGTCTAATAGACGCGAGTTCGGGAAATTTGGGTCAACGAGGTTGATTTTTAAGATGAGAGAAAAAGAGAGAGAGAAAGAGAAATGGGGAAAAAGAGAAGGATACGTACCCAGCGAGAGATATATATCGGACCTTTGACATTTTCATACGAAAGAGAAAGCAGAAGGCGGACAAGCGTAATTGCCTACCACTGCATAATACGACTCTCGAGTTA